CTCCTGAATGAGGGTAGAGGTTTCAGGTGGCAAGATTGGCTTAGCCAGAGCAATAGAACTTCCACTTCAGGAGTGGGCCTCTTTAGTTTCTATAACTGTGATCTGTTAACCTTATTGTTCTACCTAAAGTAAAATAATTTGTAATTTATACTCTGTGTATTGAATTTTCTTTCTTATTAAACTGTTAGAATACTGAAAGGCATTCTAGAGGGCTTCCCCTGGATATTTTGTGAATAAGTGTGCACTACTTATTGCTACCATTGTTATAATAATTGAGATGGGATGGTGTAGATCTGCTTACTGGGCTGTTAGCTCATTCCATCTTATTTGCATGACTGTAAAGAGAAACTGTTAATCTCTGAACCGAAGCCGGATAGTTGCGTTGTGCTTTGGTGATTGAAGCTTGGAGTCTGAAGAGCCATCTTCCAGAGTTTTCTATAGCATGTTTTTGATGTTCTTACCACTGTGTTGGTTACTTTACACTGTGTATTTTTGGTCCATTAGTGCCTTGAAGAAATTATAAGAACTTTTGGTTACCTAATGTAATGAAAGTGGTTGTTCTTTTGGAATGATATATGTCTTTATGTGTAGATTTTTGTTTTTCTTGCATGGTTTGCTCTTGATTTCGTGTTTTCATGCGATTGAGCCTGTCCCACTTGAGTGACGTTCACCACGTCAAATTGCGGTTCCGCACCCTGTTGCTACAGGCTCGTACGATTTAGGGTTCGGGGGCATGGTCATGACAGCCTAGGACTAAGTCCTCCTGAGGCTGAGATTTCTGCATTGTCCTTGCCTTTGAATCACAAGGTTTGGACTTTCGTTCTACCATCGTGATTTTTGTAACACATGGACTGACCATGATTTCAATGAAGGCAAATTGGTCCGTGGTTGAGAAGAAGTGGAGCGGGACCTCCATGGTTCCTACCTGGAAAGATATCATTATCGCAACCATTATTACCTCTGATGACTTGTGATTAACGCAGGGGTTCACTCATCAGGGTAAATAAAGAAGACACAAGAGTAAATGTGTGAGAGATCATGACTCATGACATATCCTAGAGCAAGATTTGATTTCCTTGACGCAACCAGAGATGAAAGGTGAATTGTTCCCCAGTGGAGTCGCTAGAGATTTGAACGCTCCAAAATGTGAGTACTTTAAGATGTTTAAAAGAAAATGTTTAAACAAACATTAGACCCCAAAAAGAAACCAGAGGACATCAAATTTGGGGCCAAATTCACCAGTGCATTCCATGTCAAGAACACAAATTTTATATTATACAGTCATTTCTAAGGAAGAAAATGTACAGACATGTTAAAAGAAAAAGGATAACATCAAGGGTATATTGGCCCATATACCTATAGATGAACGTAGGGATATTATCCTTCGAGACTGGTTTTCCTAAGAGAATTGTTCTCAAGTAGATCGTAGAAGATGATTATCTCTCTCTCTGTGTGTCCTGAGTGTCTTACTCTCTTTTCCCGCTCTTAATTCTCCACCAAAATGCTTACCTTTTCTGAACTTGTGCACTGAATAATTCCAGAGGATTAATCCACTATTACAATCTACATCGTCATGAGAAAAGGACAAAAGAGTCGAATACCTTTGATTCTGGCCTTGAAACCTATACATTCATTTCTAAGGAAAAAAATGTACAGACATGTTAAAAGAGAAAGGATAACATCAAGGGCATATTGGCCCATATACCTGTAGATGTACGTAGGGATATTATTCTTCGAGACTGATCTTCCTATGAAAATGTTTCTCAAGTGGATCGTAGAAGATGATTATCTCTCTCTCTGTGTGTCCTGAGTATCTTACTCTCTTTTCCTGCTTTTAATTCTTACTGAGGTAAAACCCCAGCAAAATGCTTACCTTTTCTGAACTTGTGTCTATGAAAAATGTACGACCCCTCTTTCATCGAGATAACCCCTTTTTATACTATCAAATTATGGTTTTTCAAGGGATAACCATATATTTCCATTCTTTCAATCTTCACCCTTCAACTTCATCTTGGACTTATCCTTTTGTTTGAATCATATAATCTATAGGGTGTCCTTCTTATCTTATAATGCTGATATCTTTCATGTTTATCTCTTCACGCTGCTAATCTCATTGTTTGAGTTGTTCATGCAGGTATCTCTTAATGATAATCAATGATACTCATCTTGCATTTCAAACATTCGAAACCCCATATTCTCGCGGAAGGAAAATCAAGAACTCGTCACTATTGTCAGTGGGCTGCAACCACTTCTATTGTTCAACTTAATCCATGCTACACCTTTTAAGGATGATAAAGCAATGACTCAAGAATCCAACGACTTTGCTTTCCCCTATATCAAGGAAGAAATCGCCCATTTTGATAACCAAATGTCACATGAAAGCTTTTAAGGCCTTAACTGCTGAACAATGAGGATGATGGTTAAGCCATCTCCGGGCAACTTTAAACTGTCGTGATATGAGAATGATGGGTTAAGCCATCTCCAGGCAATTTTAAACTGTCGTAATATGAGGATGATGCGTTAAGCCATCTCCAAGTCCTTTTAAACTGTCGTGATATGAGGATGATGGGGTAAGTCATCTCTGAGCAGCTTTAAACTATCGTAATATGAGGATGATGGGATAAGCCATCTCCAAGCAACATGAAATTGTCGTGATATGCGGATGATAGGTTAAGCTATCTCTGGGCAGTATTAAACTACTATTAGGATGATGGGTTAAGCCATCTCCGAGCAGCTTTAAACTGTCGTGACATGAGGATGATAGGTTAAGCCATCTCCGGGCAGCTTTAAACTACCGTGATATGAGGATGATGGGTTAAGCCATCTTTGAGCTACTTTAAACTGCCATGATATGAGGATGATGGGCTAAGTCATCTCTAGCCAGCTTTAAACTGCTGAGATATGAGGATGATGGGTTAATCCATCTCCAGGCAACTTTAAACTGTTGTGATATGAGGATGATGGGTTAAGCCATCTCAAGACAACTTTAAACTACTAATTGACATGAAACTTTAAGGGGAAGGGTTTTAATGCCTCGAACATGCATCCTCGAGAGTCTCATCTTGATTCCAAAATATGAAACTCTGGGGAGTCAGTCAAGGCATATCTCAACTAACAGTGGACATGGGTTAAGCCAAGTCCAAATATTTTCAAAGAACAATCTTTTCGAACTCATATGTCTTCTATCCAACGTTCTTTAAAGCACACTTAGCCTTGTATGGGGACTAAGAAATATATCTTCAAAGGCAAAGTCTATTCAAAAGGACTCATTCATCATGTTTTCACACCTCAACCCTTAATGAACGTTTATTAGAATGTATTTAACCCTTTGTATAATATTAAAAGTATACACAACATGATCTTACCACAAGATCTTATGAGCATTGTGGATCAGTTAGCATTTTCAGGTGTGCCAAATAGAGGGTTGGTTTTATGAAAAATTTTGAGAATTGTGCAACTGTGGAAAGTTTGGTTGGAGTGGAATAGAAGGACTTTTTATGGGAAGATGGAAGATATACAACATTTTAAGAATAAGATTTTGAATATTACTTGGTAGTGTTTTTAGTGACTAAAGAAGGTGATGGTATTTCAAAGGTGGATGTTGTTTTCACCTTTGTCAGTTCTCTAGTGTTTGTCCTAAAGTGGAAAGATGAATATATCCAGTTAATTGGTGCATTAAGCTAAACTTTGATGGTAGTTCTCTTGGAAACCCTGAGCTAGCAGGTTTTGGAGGTGTTTTTCGAGATTTGAATGGTGTGGTCTTGTGTTGCTATTTCGGTCCTTGTGAACACTCCACGACTTATAAGGCCGATTGTCAGCTTTACTTTTTAGGTTGAAGGTGTTGAATGAGAGATTTTCAGGTGTTTGGTATATTGTAAAAGGGGATTGTCTTAATGCGATAAACTAGTACAAGAGGAACTGAAGACCCTCGTGGTCACTCAAATCTATGTGGAAGGAAATCTCGGATTTATTTTCAAGTTTGCGGGATGAGTTCCGTTATGTTTACAAGGGTAATGATGCGGCTAATTTCTTAGCAAAATATGGGGTCAATAGCTCCGAGTTTGTATCTTGAGACATTCTTTCAATGTAATTGTAGTGATATTTCTTATTATCAATAAAGAAATATGATATTGTCAAAAAAAAAAAAAGTAAACGGTATTTTTATATATTTTTTCATATATTATATGATAGACCATCAGACCATTGAAAATGGGTTTCAAGTAGGGGTGGCAACGAGTCAGATCGGGTACTGTGGGACCAGGACCAGGACCAGACCCAGACCCAGACCTAGACCTAGACCTGATTGAGTCCAGAGTCCCCGAAGCCGAAAATATAGTGGGACGCAGACTCAGACCTAGACCGGTCCCAAACCCAACTAGGTACAGAATCCCTGGACCTAAACCCGAATTGCTTTTAAGGGACCCGAACCTGACCCAAAAATCAAAATATCTATTTATGTAATTCATAAATATATTTAATATGTGTATATATGCATTATTTAACTATTATAACTATAATATTAAAATAATAAAAATTCAAGTCAAGTCAAGGAAGGATCTACATGGACCCGAACCCAAACCTGAATAGTATTCAAGTCCAAGATTTGGACCCCGACCCGACTCGTCAGGTCCAAATTTTAGACCGATACCCGAACCTGGATTGGTTCTACTCATCAGGTCTCGCGTCGGGTCCGGATCCGTTGCGACCCCTACTTTCAAGTACTAGATAGACGGTACATATTAATCGCCCAAGCGAATGCCCTTGGTGGTTGAGAAAAGTCACTTTCACGTTGACCGCATGTATAGGATGTGTAACTGCCCCTCATGTTCCATAACGCTACCTATAAACCCGCCCCCATTTCTTCCCTATCTTTGCCACCTTTTTGCATGCAAACAAAAACTTAATTAATCTCTTTAACATATTTCATTCATATATTCTTTAATACGCCATCTCCTATAAAAAGTGAGTGTAAATTGACGAACCCAAACGGTTCTCCACAGTAGCACTAAAGACGATTAAATGATAAACAAGCCAACACCAACATTCAGGGCAGCAAGCTCATTTTTTCTTCTTCTTCTTGTTCACCTCTCATTCTTAAAGGTGGTGATTTCAAAGGAGGAGAGAGAAAATTACATTGTCCTATTGGAAGGGGAGGGTGCAGCATTCAATGGTGGCTCCCAAATTGCATTTCCTGCTAATGCTGCATTACGAGAGACGGCAAGAAACCACAGGTAGAAAGAGAGTGTGCGCTTGTGTGTTTGTGTGAGAGAGAGAGTCTGTTTTTTCATTATGCTGTTGTTTCTCTGTGTGTGTGCTGAGAGATACTACCTGAGCTTGTGTGCTTGTGTGTATGTGAGAGAGAGAGAGAATTTTGCTTCTGTGTTTATGCGTGAGAGACTACATGAACTTGTGTGCTTGTTTGTGTGTATATGAATGTGAGAGAGAAAGAGAGAGGGAGAGAGGGAGCGCGAGCCTTTGTGTATGTGAGAGAGAGAGAGCATGAGTTTGTGTGTGTGTGAAAGAGAGAGAGGAAATACCAATAATGTAGAAGGGCTGTGATCAATGCCTGCAAACGTTGCCAGTCCAACTCGGAACTGGCCAGTTAAACCCAAACTGAGAACTAGACGATCTGGATTTTGGTCGGTTTTGATTGTCCAACCGGATATTTTAAAAACATATTTAAAAAAATATATATAAAATCCTAAAATATAAGGGATTTGTTTTTAATGTATTTTTCCATATTTTTAGAAAATTTCAAAAATACTTCTGAACACAAATCCATTTTTAAAATCTATTTTTTTCAATAATTTTCAACTTCATTTGGATGTATTTTATTTAAATCTATTTTTTCATTAATTTTCAACTTCATTTGGATGTACTTTATTTAGTCATACTTTAAATATACTTTTCATATTTTTTTGTTTTTTTTTTGGGACTTTTTAAACTAGTCAGGGACTTACTTAGTAAGGCTAGTTGGACGGGCCTGTTCAATGATTACTCAAAACCACCCATTGGCTGGTTTCCAACGCCGGTTTGATTTTTCAAACACTAGTTGTAACAGTCTCTTATAGCAATATGGTTGATATATTCTTCAGTCCCGAGCAAGGTATAAGAAATGAAAGATAGGAAAGCGCCCTAATACTTCTCTAAGATCCTACAAGTAAAAGTGGAAGAAGGACAAATTGGTTATGTGTTTACTAATCAAGACCGCACCTGAATGAGAAGAGCCATGGGATGGGAGCAAGGAAAGTTCTGCGGATGCGATCTGGGCCGGGCCCAATCCAGCAATCGGGCCAGTTCTACTGGGCTCAATCCCGTCCTGAATAAAGTTAGGTTCTGATTAGCTTGGATTGGACTTTCCAGGATTACAACTGGGTCAGAACATTTTTAACTCCAAACCTGCTCGAAAATAATTTAGCTTTGACGTAGTTGGAACATAACCCCATTTTGTCATACCTAGGTCTTGCCCATTCCATCTTGAATAGATGGGTTCCCCAATGCTTGGATGGGTTTTTTTACCTCTAATATTGGGAACGTCAGATCTAAGTATTTTAAGACTTGACATTTTTTTCTTTTTTTAAAAAAATTATTATTAACTGATTATTAGGTGGATCTCAAAATTTATATTGAAAAATCCTATAAAAACAAAAAAAAATTATTATTAACTGATTATTAGGTGGATCTCAAAATTTATATTGAAAAATCCTATAAAAACAAAAAAAAACTTTTCACATGAGAGAAGTATGAAATAAGGTCCCGTGGGAGCATGCTATATGCCCTCTATAACAATCACCGGTGCTGGCTCAATTGGTTAATAGGAGAATAATAAGCCAACTCATTTGTTTAATAGGAAAAGAGAAAATGTTTCATGCCATTGGACCACATTTCTACAATATGCGGTCTAGAGGTATAAAGTATTCATCTTAAGATAATTGTAATTAACGATCCAAATGTTTTTTTAATATAATTATTATTATTAATTTTCAATTTTTTTATTTTTTTCATATTCATGATCTCCATGTTAAAGATTATATATTCTCTAAAAATTAAGATCAAATTATATTTAAAAATATATTTGTTTCCTGCATTTCTACATGGGTGGGCTTGGCCGCATGCTAACCGCGTCCATAGGAAAATAGTTAGCCTGCAATGAATCCACCATAGGAATCACCATAAAAAGACCAAAATGCCCTTGTTCCTTTTATTTTATTGGTGTGAGGAAACACACTTTTATTAATTTACATAGAAGTTTATAGTGCTGAGGGGTTAGCCCTTCTGTGATATAATATTTACAATGCATCTTACTAGAGGTTTCTTTAATCACGTTATGAGCATAATGACGTTATTACATTTTCCCTAGATCACTTAAGGTTGATTGGAAGTTTGCATTTCTTGTCTTTCATATATGAGTTTATTGTTTGCATTCCTTGGGGATTATCTTTTCTTCCAGATGCTATTTCATATTCTCTTCAGAGACACATGATAAAATTGAAACGATATAGAGAACATGCTATTTCAAATTGTCCATGTCAACACCCTTATTGATCTTTGAATTGTATGATTATGAATTTTTTGTACCGGCAATGGGTCTAAAGATGTATCTAAAAGGATGAAATTTATAAGGACCTATGGCATATATGAACCCATCAATTCGGGATTTTTATTGAAAAGGGGGTTATACCCACTGATTTTTATTGAAAAGGGGGTTATACCCACTGATTTTTATTGAAAAGGGGGTTATACCCACTGATTTTTGTCCTTCTGTATGACCGAAATAAGAGTGTGAGAGAGGCATTCCAAAAAAAAACTTAGTAACTTTGTAACTTATTTTGGAACCAAAATTCCATTTTATAGCTAAATGTTGGGGAAATTTTTTATATTTCTAACAAATGGGTCAGATACATCAAGCCATGCACTAAGATCGATGTTCTGGATGGGCCGGCCCAGCCCCGGCTAGTTCCCATTCCTACAAGAGCAGACAGCCTTACTCAAAGAAAGTGCAACTTAAGCACAGCGAGCATTTTCACTATATGATAGCTCATCAATCCCACAACAAGTGATTACCATAACTCTATGAGGACATCATGGTATCATGCTATAATGTGATTTATATAAGGCTGAGGCCCTAAACAATCAAAGTAAGGTGCACCTTCAAATAGTGTCACAAGATCTTTCAGTACTGAAAATCTTTGTGATGGCCTGAAAATTTATTTTCATCTGTAATTATAAAATTTAAAACTTCAAAAATAATGTAGATCAAGCAGATCTATGAACACTTGAAATTCCCGAAAATTGAAGGTCAAGAAAATACGTTACAGGATACACTATTTCCAAGACTTTAAATCCATTTTTTCTCATGTACATACATCTTGAGGCCAAGATGATCGTTTTGAGGATTTTTAGGCATCGAAAGAATGTCTTGTAGTGAATTTTTGAGATACGCCTCACCCTTATATAAATGTTACTCATCTTTTCAAAACATGCGTTATCATAATCGGACTAGCCACCAAACTGGTGGATGGTTTGGTCTAGTCAAAATTACTTCAACCTCTATTTGAATCAAAATGGTTATAAGTTATCAAAACCAAACCGGATTACCATGTTCGACTGGTCAGATGGCTAACCGCTGCCCAGGCCGGTCCGGTTGAAAGCAAGAATTGATTTTGCCAAAAATTGGTGAAAGTTAATTTTTAACCAGTTTTAACTAGTCAAACCGGTTAAAGAAAGTTGGACTTTTACTGTAATTTATTTGTTATTTGGAAACTATAATTTCTAATGTGCATATAACATAGGTTCAAGACCAGCCATGCTTTATGGGACGAAATGTTGGGTGGTCAAGAAACAACATATTCATAGGATAAGCGTAGCTGAGATGAGAATGTTGAGATGGATGAGAGGCACGACAAGAAATGATAGAATTTGCAATGAACATATATAGGGAAACTTAGGTGTAGCTATAATAGGCGATAAGATAAGAAAACGTAGACTTAGGTGGGTTGGCCATATGCAACATAGACGTAATACAACACCTTGTTTGGAGGTATGAATTTGTTCAAGTGGAAGCCTATAAAAGAGCAAGGGGAAAAAAGATATGAATGGAAGTAGTGTTAAAAGATATGGTGATTTTGGTCTTACTGAAGATATGACCCTTGATAAAGAAGAATAGAGGAACAGTATTCATGTAGCCGACTCCAAATAATTGGATTAAGGCTTAGATGATGATAAAATTATAATTTCTAATTTCTATTCATTTTTTGAAAAATCCGGTCCAAGTGGTCTAACCAACTATTGAATCAATTTTCACTGATCCGGTCCTGATAACACTAACTTAGAACCAGCTACCTTCAACAGGTACCCAACCCCACCCTTGGCCATTTCGGTTCTGTATTAAAAAATCGTGCTTGATTAACATGCATGCACCTAGCCCATGCATAAATAAAGTTGTGGCTCTAGTTTGTCCACTTTGACATGCCCTTACAATGCAAGTTCTCAACATCGTGTTTTGGTTGCAGTGCGGTAATAAGGACAGAGATGGTGAAGTCCCATGATCAGTTTTTGATGAACAACTTGGAGAGTGGGAGTTACAAGAAGCTCTACAGCTTTCACCACCTTGTTAATGCCTTCGCCCTTCATACGACTCCTTCTCAGGCAAGCTGCTACTTTTTTTTTCCATCTAAGACAAAAAATGACACATCCAGGAAGGCATACATTTCCTCAAGAAAGACATTTTCATATAGTATATTAAGTGATGGGAAATTCCATGGAAATTGGCACTCTACACAGGTTGAAAAGATTAACAAAGCCAAGGGGGTGAGGCTGATAGAAAAGGATAGATGCATGAAGCTGATGACAACCTACACTCCTCAGTTTCTTGGGCTACCAACAGGGCCATGGTCGAAAGGAGGCAAGAGTAGAGCAGGCGAAGGGGTAGTGATCGGAATAGTGGACACTGGCATCTATCCTTTCCATCGCAGTTTTACAAACCACCCATTCGACCCTTATTGCTCTGACCTTCCTCGATTCACCGGCACATGTGACACGGGTCCCTTCTTTCCGATTGGCTCTTGCAATGGAAAGATAGTGTCTGCTCGCTTCTTCTCGGCTGGAGCATTAGCCGTGATGCCTCTCAATGCTTCTAGGGACTATCTCTCCCCATTTGATGCTAGCGGGCATGGGAGGTGAAACATCGGCATAATTTAGGACTTTGAGCTATCTAGATACATTTTTGTCAACATTGAGGATAAGCTTTGGATCATCAGTTAGCCAGACTTTTAAGAATTAACCATATTTTTGTTTCTTTCCTCAATTTTTCTTGGACAATCAGTCATGTGGCTGCAGTTGCTGCGGGAAATTCCGACGTCCCAGTGATAGTTGATGGATTCAACTATGGAAGCGCAAGTGGGATGGCTCCTCGAGCAAGGTACAAGCAACTTCTCTAATTGAAATGATAACAAAAGAGCTTTAAAGGCAATGAGTTAGCTAACAATGCATTCTTGAATCTATTTTTCTTGGATAGTCAGGTGGAATTTGAAAGCACATATTCTAAGCTAACACCTGTTTAAGGTCGAGAGAGCACTATTTTATTCAGATTTAGTTTACTTTATGATTGGCAACATCTTCTAGGCACGTATCTGTATTTGATCATCAAATACTTTCAGGATTGCAGTCTACAAGGCAATATATCCAGATGTGGGAACTCTTGTTGATGTAGTCGCTGCTATTGATCAGGTAAACCAAAGATATTGGTAATTACTTAGCCTATAGTTCTTTTTTTCTTTTTATATTTATTGAAAAATATAGAATATGTTTAGGGATCTTTTATAGTTCCAACCACATACTTCTCTTATCTTCATCCTCTCCTTTTTCTACTTTATTGGCAAGCTAGGTTCGGGGCTTTTTTACAGCAGCTAAGCCATCCCAATGATCTTTATGTGCAAGCATGCTTACCCACGCTATACATCATGTATGTCCATATCATTAATGCATGTGAATTATACAATGTGAGGTAAAATGAGCATCCCGTTGTATTTGAGTACATCTCCACTAGAATTTTGTGCCACCCAAATGATGTTTTCACTGGAAGTGTGTGCCACCCAAATTAGGCTTTTGCAGTGACCAAAATGAACTTAATTATATGAACAATTTTGGAAGGTTACTTTTACAGAACATAGCATAAATTAACTTCAATTGTCAAGGCATAACTTTAATCTCAAGCTTCCAATTCTGCTGAAAAATTTAGGCTTCGATGTGTTCGTGCAGCTCAACTTTCAGAACCTGAGAAATAATTTCCATTGTTTTCAAAGCTGTTTGCATAAATTAAACCTAATCCTTTATATTTATTAGTGAAACCTAATTCTTCATATTTGATAGTGAATCTTTGACGATGTTGGCTTTATGTCATTGCCACAAACCCGAACATGCATTTAAAGCAAACTGCTACAATGTATTTGGTGTCCATACTTGTGCATATGTATGACTATATGTGCATGGATCTGTATATAATGTCAATCGTGAGTTTATGTTAGAAAATTTAAAAAGAACACCTACTCATAGAGTGATAGATACACAATTCAACTTTACTCATGTTTTTTTCCACACTCACATTTCAACCACAAGCACTTCATTTCTATCTACAACCACGGACACTTCATTTCCATCGACAACCATAGGCACTTTTCAATTCAAGGAGCCCAAATATATACACGATTACAACACAACTGCCCACTACCTAGATAACTACCCATTACATCCACTTTTTGCATCATCTTTAACAAACTGCCCACTACCTAGATAACTACCCATTACATCCACTTTTTTGCATCATCTTTAACACTCCCCCTGGATGCAAAATTTCACCTTTTTCTTTCAAATTTATTCTTCTTGTTTCTTCTTACTTCTTTTTATGCTTCTCGCTTCTTTTTTTTCTACCTTTCTTTTTTTTTTTTTTTTTTGTCTTTTTCTTCTTCAACTTGCTGCTTGCTGCTTCTTGCTTTTGCTTCTTCTTCTTTCTTCTTGCTTCTTCTTGTTTTTATTTCTTTCTTCTTCTTTTTATTTTTTTTTTTAAAAATACACATTACTTTTCTCTTTTTCATGCCTTCTCATGGCATCATCATGCCTTTTTATGACATGACAAATTAGGACTTCAATGTCCTATTTTTCTGAACACAATTTCTTTTTTATACTTTCTCATGGCATCATCATGCTTTTTTATGACATGACAAACTAGGACTTCAATGTCCTGTTTTTCTAAACATATTTTTTTTTTATGCCTTTTCATTAGGCACTCTCATGCCTTTAACAGCATCATCATATCTTTTCATGGCATGACAAAGTAGGACTTCGATGTCTTGTTTTCATTTTAAAAAAATCAATCATTTTTCCTATGCCTGCACTAGGCATGGATTTCCCATCATACCTTTCCATGGCACGACATACCAGGACTGCGGTGTCCTATTTTTCTTCTTTCTCAAAAATTATTTTGAATTTGTCCTATGCCTACATAGGCGTGGATTTTCCATGAGTACTGCTCATGTCGCCCTTTCAGAATTTTTTCTTTTTTTAAATCTTATTTTCTGAAAACTTTTGCAAAAATACAACATCAAGAGCTCTCCAATTTTGTTTCCCCATTTTTTTAAAAATATCCCCATCTTCTTTTTTCCAAGAACATCACAATTTATTTTTTTTTATTGCAAATCATTTTTTTTTTTTTTTTAATCACCCTTTCTTTGAATCAAGACCGAAACATTGTTTTCATTTTAATTTTCCAATGCACATAAAAGTCTCTATTTAAAATCGGAATTGATGGTTAAGATATATTTGAATTGCTATTGTTAGCCATAAGGAAAAAATGTACGAAAATAAAGAAATTTGTGTCCCCTTCCTTTGAGTTTTGTCTCTGTCCTCGTCTCTGCGTAATAAATCTCCATCAATGCCTATCTCTTAGGCAACTTGTCTCTCCAATGCCTATCTTTGGCAACATGTGCTCTGAGGGTTATGGACCCACCACGCTTCTATTTCACAACCTATGTTCTCTTCACAACCTGAGCTCTGAGGGTTATGGGTCCACCATGCTTCTGTTTCACAACCTGGGCTCTTTGCACAACCTCGCTCAGATGCTTATCTTTTTTTTTGCACAACCTGCGCTCTCCACGCTTTTTTTTTTTTCTACTATTGTTTTTTTTTTTACAACCTGTGCTCTTCACAACCTGGCTCTTCACGTCAATGACTATTTTTGTTTCTTTTTTTTTTATTCTCACTACACTACACTTTGAGGGTTATGGCCCACCACGCTTCTATTTCACAACCTAGGCTCTCCTCACCATGTTGAAAATTTATGGATGAGGCTTTGATATCATGTTGCAAGTTTTTGGATAAGGCTCTGATACTATGTTGAAAATTTAAAAAGAACACATACTCATGGAGAGATAGACACACAACTCAACTTTACTCATGTCTTTTGCCACACTCACATTTCAACCATAGGCACTTCATTTCTGTCTTCAACCACAGGCACTTCATTTCTATCTAAAACCACGTGAACTTCATTTCTATCTACAACCACAGGCACTTCATTTATATCTACAACCACATGCACTTTTCAATTCAAGGAGCCCAACCACAGGCACTTTTCAATTCAAGGAGCCCAAATATATAGGCGATTACAACACAATTGCCTACTACCTAGAGAACTACCCAGTACTAGAGCCCAAATATATAGGCGATTACAACACAATTGCCTACTACCTAGAGAACTACCCAGTACTAAGATAACTACCCATTACATCCATTTTTTTGCATCATCTTTAATAGTTTACACATATCTACAAAATTCTTAAGAAAGGCAATAGTTTGAATAGTTAATGCTTGATGGTACATGCATTTAAGAAGATGTTGGTTGTGGTTGCTTCCAGGCAGTCTCGGATGGCGTAGACGTTATGACGCTATCCATTGGGCCAGACGAGACACCGCAAGACACTCTTACTTTCTTGAGTGTGTTAGATATCATCCTCTTATTGGCACAAAGAGCGGGCGTGTTTGTTGTTCAGGCTGCAGGAAATAAGGGCCCTAGTCCATCCACTTTGGTATCATTCAGCCCTTGGATCATGACCGTGGCTGCAAGTTCCACCGACAGAACTTATTCAGCCACCCTAGTCCTAGGAAATGGCCTTCAACTTCAAGGGGTTGGCCTCTCAGGTGAAAAAGTCTATCCAAGACAATATTTTTCGAAGAGCTAGAAAGGGGTTTTAATTGGATAGAAGTCTACCTGATCAAACGAAAAAAAAACAGAAAGAAAAAACTAGAAATACACATTTACTAATTTATTACTATTTTCTATAGGTTAGTGAAGGATTCAAAACTGGATGTTTTGCTGCAAGAATTTAGTGTATTCCTTTCTACTACATAGAGTGAAAGCTTAGATTCCTATTGTAATCTCCCCTATACGATCAAAGATATTAGTGGGGTGATATGCTAAACAACACAATATTTGTCGTCGCAACATTTTGTTCGCACACATTCTATTGAAGCCCTATGTCAAAACACGTTGTTAATTATTCTCTAAAACTGAAAAGATTTTTTCATAAAGGTAAAGCTTTAAATTTTGAAATGAACACAATAGATGGTCAAACATTGTGATTATAGGTTTTGAAAGAATTATAGGCTTCTCAAATGCAGAGCTTGCAGGTTTCAACATTTCTATTAGTCCTCCATGGAATATGTTTATCAAGCTACCTTTGATATTTGGCCATCCCACAGGCCCAACCTTGGGGAATGGATTCTTGAAGTATAGGCTTGTGTTTGCCAAGGATGCTGCAAAAGTAAACAACTCAACATTAGCAGATGAGTGCCAGGAACCAAAAGCCTTGCAAGAGGGATTAGTGCGTGGAAGTATAGTTGTATGCAACTTTTCAAGTGGCTTCTACCGTAGGACATCAACCTTGGATGCCATCCTTGCCACCACAAAGTCATTGGGTGCCATGGGTTTTGTATTTGCAGCAAACCCAACTTATGGGGACTTTGTTGCTGAGCCAATAACCTTCTCCATTCCTGGTATCATGATCCCTAGTGTATCTTCTGTTGAGGTATGCAAGGCTTTAAATTTTGCCCCATTTTATCTAGCAAGGTTTATTGTAGTGACCCATATCTTACCAATCAAACAACTTAAAATGGAATGTGTACGTTTGTGTGTATGTGTGCATTCATTTATGTAAGGCATATTTGGAAGCCAACCAGGTGCTTGCATAACTTGCTGTGGTAATTGGCAATAAATTTCTGATTGTTATCTCACTATTGGAAGCAATATTTACATTCATTTTTACACATAGGGGTTCAAGATCAAGTGTAATGCTTGGGCTCATATCCTTCATTTCTTACTTAAAAATCCATCAGTGGCGCACCAAACTCCAGCAAACCAGAATTGGGTCAACACCAGAATCCCCTATCTGGATTTCAACAACATTCATTCCCTTTACTCAAAAAATAACATTCATTCTCCATATTGTGGCAAATATACTAATGAACATATAACTCTTTTCTTATGTATCATGCTCTTTTAAGCCCATTGTTGCATCCATGTATAGGCTTTGATGCAGTATTATGCTGAGAAGACAGTGAGGAATGAGAAAGGGGTGGTCCTGAATTATGGTGCGCAAGCATCAATAGTAGAAGGCAGAAGAGCTAAATATGGGGATGAAGCACCAGTAGTAAGCAGCTTCTCTTCAAGAGGCCCTGACATCATTGATGCACATTTAAGCCTAGCTGATGTCCTCAAACCCGATATTCTTGCCCCCGGACATCAAGTTTGGTCAGCTTGGAGCCCTACTAGTGCCATAGGTTCCATACTTACAGGTATTAAACGCAAAATCAATAAAGCTCAAAATTGATGACTTTAATATTTCATAGTCCGTGTTTTCATTCCTGCAAGAAAATTTTGTCTGACATTCCACTATTTTGTATCCATGGATAGGCTACAATTTCGCACTATTATCAGGAACTAGCATGGCATGCCCTCATGTGGCTGGGATAGCTGCCCTCTTAAAGCATTCATATCCCTCATGGAGTCCCTCCATGATCGCCTCTGCCATGATCACAACTGCTTCTAAGAATGATAATAAAGGTAAACCTATCATGGCTGCCCAATCGCCCTTTGCAAATGAGTATCAACCTGCCACGCCTTTTGATTTTGGAGGTGGCCTCATCAATGCTGCAGCTGCACTACACCCTGGACTCGTAGTCAACTCAGGTAAACATTCTAATTGTCTTCCTTCGAAGTGAACTATAATCCTTGGACCATAGGGATAACATTGTCCTTTGAATCATCATCATTCAACTAATGGCTTGGCCATGATTGAGAGAGTAGGAAACAACCCTGGTTTGGGGTCATGTCAAGTTCTCATGGATCCCACAGCACAGTACATCCCTTGATTAGGCAGGATGACCCCATGGAATAAGCTCATTCATAGTCCATCATTTCAAAACATAAGGAACCTCATCAAGATAAAACTATGACTAATTGACTATTTAACATTTTATTCTTCTTTTTTACTTAGCGTTTTACCCATTTTCAGCTATACTAACTCATGATCATGTGCATTATGATACGATTTTATTTAAGAGGATTGTATATCACAAGATCATTTACTTTTGACATAAGGAAGTCATAATTACTTTTAGCCACTAGATGTGGAATATGAAATATTGACGAAAGATTTTTATTTTGGATTTTGTACACAGTCAATGACATTACCCCCAATCACCTGATTTCCCACCTAATGATTAAAAATGATTGTGGTCTCATTATTCTAAAACTAAATTGTCTCTTTCTAAATATTTCTGTATTTAATTAAATCAAAAGAAATATCTAAATTGTTTAATAGTTCATCTTTTAAGTGAATTTTGATAATTTCCCTAAAAAATATTTTCTCAAACAATAATCACAACTAAACAAAATACTATTTTCTCTCCATAGGATTTGAAGATTACATCAGCTTCCTATGCTCATTACCGAATGTAAACCAAGAAACAGTTAGAACAGCCACAGGAAGGGCCTGCAACAATTCAAAAAGGTTTCCCTCCGATTTGAACATCCCCTCTATAACCATTTCGGCCTTAGTTGGGAATATAACTGTGCAACGAACTTTCAAAAATGTAGAAAATAGGACAGAAACTTACTTATGCTCAGTGCTGCCACCGGAAGGAGTGGAGATTCGGGTGTTTCCTACTTCGTTCACAATAGACACACAGCTCACACAAGACCTCAAGATGGAACTCAAAGCAACCAAACTACTCGATGCATTCAGCTTTGGAGAAATTTTGTTGACCGGGAGCTTGGACCACATTGTGAGGATACCCTTATCTGTGTTTCCTGTCTCTCTGACTTAAGATGGATTGAAAAATTTGCAATAATCATTTTCTTTGTGTTACTCAAGAGGAGTGATTACCTTCAATATTTATAGCTTCCCTAGTTGTAATACTTGCCTAACAAATGCCAACATAGGATTCTAAATTATTTGTGATTGATATGTTTATTTCTCCAAGTTTACTAGTTGCCTAGGACTTGGATCTAAATCTAATCTTCTAGTTTTTAAACTAGATAATTCTTTAGCATATCCTTCGGGGAGAACTATGAGAGTAGCATGCCCATAAAACATCTCTTTCCTTTTTGATAATTAATTGTGTTAATTGCTGTTATAAAAATGAGCGAGTATACGGGCAAATAAACAAAAGAAGTTTCGAGGTTGTTTGATCTCAGATTTGTACAAAGCTGTTTAAATTGGATTTGTACAAAGCTGTTTAGTGAAATAAGAGAGGTTCACTATTCTAGTGATGCTTATTCACGGCATGTT